TCTTGAGCAACCATGGCAAGCTGACCCTTCAAAGGCGGGATTGGCAGTGCGTGCTTTATGAACTGAGCTAAACTGCATCAGGCAGGGAAGCATGGTTAACAGTCAGCTGCTGAGCTACACATAATCAAACTGGCTGAAATGGGTAACTCATACACTGGGCTTCCAGGGCTGGAACGGGAGGCTAATGAACGGGCGTTCAGGCTGTGCACCTACCCTGCGAAGTTGGCCGAAAGGTTGGGGTAGTTTCTGAAACAGAGCTGCGTGAGATTGATACGTGCGCTTCTGTGTAGCTTAAAGGGTTGAAACTTCTTTCAAATGAGAATGCTGAACACCTGCCTAATGATGTTTAAGCTGTCCATTTTTCAGGTCATCACTGTTTTTACTGTTCCATTCCTTGGATTCAAGGACTTCGTTGGTTTTTTTTACTCCTTTTAAAAGACTTAGTCTGTATAGCCATGCATCTGGAAAGCAGATCTTAAATGTGAAAAATCACTACCTGTTCAGGGGACTGTTGGCTTCACATCCAAGCTCTGGATGTATTTCTGTTATGGAGGTCAACAGCAAGACCAGCTTGGCATTTAGCTGAAGGGCTTGGCCAAGTAAGCCTGAATGAGACTGCTATCATCTGTACGTTTTTAGTTGACTTCTAATGTTTATCAGCACTAGAGCGGAGTCTGTATTACGTGAAGCTTGCAGCTTTGGTTTGCTAGTGGAAGATCACAAGGGTTTTTTGGGAGGTGAGGTAGGGGGAACAAGCTGAAGAAAATGTGGGCTTCTAGGCATAGAAGTGAATGACAAAGCAGTGGTATTGCAAGCTGATCATCTTCTGGTTGCAAACTCTGAACAGCGTGTATTCAAAGCATGTCCCATCAGACTTAGGCATTACTTCCAGCTTGTCTGCAGTTGGGCCCTAACTCTATAGGGTGATATGACGTCTGCTTCGTAGATCCTAACGGGCTTTTAACTCGGGCTAGCTTCTCTGTGCAACATCAGGGGAGGGAAGCGGACTGTGCTGCTGTGATGTTGAATCTTAAGTAAGCAACTGAATGCATTTCAGTCGACCTTTTTTCCAAATCTGTGTGACTGTCTGGTTCTATTACATGCAGTTGATGTAGAGCGATACATAATGACCACTGTGGCTGAGATTCGTCTCCTGCCAAACAGCCAAGGGAGCATGGGAGAAACCTGTACTACTGTTGATAACACTTGTTATGGCTCCTGGGTTAGCTACAGGAGATAGCTGTGAACTTGGCTTTCAAGCTGTTCCAGATAAAAGTGTAACAGACAGTAAAACATCTGCCACTAGAGAACCTCTCTAATAAAACACTGTTTTGCAGCAGTTATGTTGGAGCTTAAAGTGATGCTGAACTTCTGGTGGAAACGGGCTGAAATACTCTCTGGCTACATTTTGATTGCCTTTTCCACTGCTGAACAAGTTGGACACTGTAGCTTAGGGTGAAGCAGACCTGTCAGGTCCTTCCACTTTCCGGCCTTTTAAAACTCCTCAGGGAGTTAACCCATACCTGTGGGTTGGAGGCTTATTCCACAAGAGTGATTTATTACTGTAAATGTTGTCCATAGAGTAGCTTGCATCAGAGGAAAATCTTCTGGATATCTCTAGCTTCCAGGTAGTTACCTTCTAACCTAGTTAGGAGGTCCAGATGTATGGACCTTGGCTCCAGCAGAAGTAGGTGAATGGCTCTTTTCCTATACCTGCCTCGGCTGTCCATCTGTTAAGCTATGCAAAGAACTTTTCCCCAAGTAACTTTGCTCCCCTGACTGCCTCAAGGCTTGAAAAATTACTTAAGTGCTTGTAAGAAATTACTTGACTGGCTTCAATACACATGAATATAAAATCTGCGACTTCTTGGCTATGAAGCCTTCAGCTGGAAGGCAAATGGTTAGAAAAAGCTTATGATATTTTACTATGTAAACTAGCTGCACCAGATAAGCACTAAATTTAACTTTCTTTTTTTCCAGTCAGGTCAATTCAGTGAAGATATGATTCCTACTGTGGGCTTCAACATGAGAAAAGTTACAAAGGGTAATGTTACAATAAAGGTATGTTATTGTTGTTGACTGCCCTTTTTAAACCCGTGCAGAAGGCTGGCTTCAGCTTCTAGTTTAAAATGTGTATGTTTGCTCCGTTTTTCTTCCACTGTTGGGATAAATATAGGAAACTGAAGAGGCTCAGCTAAATCTGTCAGGTAGCTTAAGAATACTCTCATGTTGGTTTATGGGGTTTCTTAAATGAGAACCTGTGTGTGATTTCCAGGTTCATGGACTAGTTAAAGCAACATTGTGATAATGCTGTCTGGCTTTCATCTGAGTTAATTTTCACATGTTTAGGGCCCGGAGATCTTCCTCATCTGCTCGTCAATATTGCTTAAGGGAAAGCTTACATCAAAAGCAAAGTTTTAAGTCAATATATCTTCCTCTATATCCTTGTATACTGCAGTGTGTTCTGGCATCTGCTTATGCTATTGGGCCTGCAAGCTTTGAGCAGCTGTACAAGGCATTATTTCTCCTCTGATATGCTAGAGGTCCTGCAGCTGGCCTAAGGAGAAAGGAAAAACTGTGTTTTGATGTCTTATTTTTGCGTAACGTTGAAACGTAGCGCATGGCTGAACTGTTGTTTTCCCTTGCCTTAAGATTTGGGATATAGGAGGGCAACCACGATTCCGAAGCATGTGGGAGCGGTATTGCAGAGGAGTTAATGCAATTGTGTAAGTATTGTCTTCCTTCAGCTAGTATTTAACTTCAGCATTGCTTCTCTTCTGCGTGTAGCCTTTCTAACAGTGCATGCTTCACTCGGTAGTAGTGGTTTTAATTTTGAAACTGTACTGCAACCATATTGACCTTTTTTTACCCTTAAGTTCAGGGCTCAACATGGGTTATTTTCTTATCAGTGTCTGATCTGGAGTACTAACTACTTCCTGTCTGAACTGGGTGGCAGTGCTGTCTAACTGAAAGAATCTTTCATCTACTCTGATCTTAGAGAATTTTTTTAAAAGAACCAAATTCTTTGCTCAGAGGACCTAGCTTTGTTTAAAGCCCTGTTGAACGTGCTCAAAACTGACAGTGAAAAGAAAACGCTGCAGTTTCTGAGGTAGTTCAGTCTCACTGACCTAACCTTAAATTCTCTTTAAAGCTACATGGTAGATGCTGCAGATCGTGAAAAAATAGAAGCCTCTCGAAATGAGCTGCACAATCTTCTAGATAAGCCACAGTTACAAGGAATCCCTGTAAGTAATACTGCCTTACACAGTATTAAACTTGCTTGGGGAATGTGCGTAACTTCAGCAACTCTGAAGCCTGGCTTGAACTCTTAAGTCAAGTGTAAGGCCTAACCTTACTGGTTAGTATAAGCATGAACGATACCTGCCCCTAGTGCGTTAAATCAAATTGTTGACCTCAGTCAATCCTTCAGTGATCTTACTCTTGTTCAGTGCCCACAAAAAAAAAAAAAAGGAACAGTAGTTCAGACTAGAGTATTCCACAGCAGGAGTTTGTGCTCCCTTCTAGGGTCTACTATAGTACAGGTTAACCAGAATGTAGTACAGAAGTACAGAGTAAGTTTGGGGAGTCTCAGCTGAAAGTTGTCTGGGATTGTTCTCAGTTCTATCAGCTGATGTGCTCTCATGCTTGCTTTTTGCACATGACAGTTTATTTGTATCCCCCCTTTCCCTGTGACTAGGTCAATCTTCCTTCTGGATCTGGTTTAATAGTGAATGTCTCATTCTGTTAATAGCCTAGTGCAGACTGCTTGTCAGACTCCCCTGAAGTTTGCTGTTTGTAGGTTGCTTTTTTTTGGGGGTGGGGGTGTGTGTGTGTTGGTGTGTGGTGTGGTTTGGTTTGTTTTTTAAAAAGCAAAGCTGCAATCATTTCCTTCTTCTCTGGATTTCAGGTTCTAGTACTTGGAAATAAGAGAGACCTTCCTAATGCTTTGGATGAGAAACAGCTAATTGAAAAGATGTAAGTCTAAGCATTCTTAAGGAAGGCTACTTGAACTCAATAAAGGGTTGTTAGATCAAGAAGCTCGCATGTGTAAGTAGAAAACCCAGCAACAGGAGGTACCTGAAACATTGTACAGAAACGAGTCATGCAGAGAAGGGGAACAGTTAAGATTCTCAGTATAAAACTAGGTCAATCTTCCTTCTGGATCTGGTTTAATAGTGAATGTCTCATTCTGTTAATAGCCTAGTGCAGACTGCTTGTCAGACTCCCCTGAAGTTTGCTGTTTGTAGGTTGCTTTTTTTTGGGGGTGGGGGTGTGTGTGTGTTGGTGTGTGGTGTGGTTTGGTTTGTTTTTTAAAAAGCAAAGCTGCAATCATTTCCTTCTTCTCTGGATTTCAGGTTCTAGTACTTGGAAATAAGAGAGACCTTCCTAATGCTTTGGATGAGAAACAGCTAATTGAAAAGATGTAAGTCTAAGCATTCTTAAGGAAGGCTACTTGAACTCAATAAAGGGTTGTTAGATCAAGAAGCTCGCATGTGTAAGTAGAAAACCCAGCAACAGGAGGTACCTGAAACATTGTACAGAAACGAGTCATGCAGAGAAGGGGAACAGTTAAGATTCTCAGTATAAAAGTCATTGTTGTAAGTGAAGTGTATGTTGAAATGTTCTCTCTTTCATAGGAACCTTGCTGCTATTCAGGACAGAGAAATCTGCTGCTACTCAATTTCTTGCAAAGAGAAAGATAATATAGGTAACTATTAACCTAAAATGCTAAACATTATGAAGAACTATCAGAGGATGGTTTGGGGGATTGTAACTTCTTAAACACAACCTTTCTGGCTTCAGGAAACTGGTAACAAATCGAAGAACAATGTGTAAGTGCACTGGTTGAATTCTGTGTAACTCCTGATGTGTGAGGAAGCTTGACTGGTATTAAAGTTGTAGGGGTTGTAATTATCAAAACACATCAGCCTCCTGTGAAGTCTGCTGCCTTTCTTTAGTTAGTTTGCAGCAAATAGCTGACTAGTCTCACTACTAGCTTGGCTGAAGTGATTTTTACATTTGTATCACGTACTCTCAGCTCTGCCTCTCTTCATGAGGCTAGCAAGTACTTGCAGCAAGTTTTCCCTCAATAGTCATTCGCTTGAAATAATCATCTTCCCTTCCTTGCTGTCTTATCAAAGTGGTTTGTGTTGTGGCCTATGCTAGTCACTCCTCCATGCAGCCAGACAGTACATTTTTCTGGTGCTGAGATCAATTGCTTTAGAATTTCTGGAGTTCAAAGGCAGAAACCGTGGTGCTGTGTAATACTAAGTACTTGACGCTAGCATTGTAAGTAAACTGAGTAATCTCAACTGGATGAAAACACAGTACCTAACACTTGCCACCCTTCTGATGCCTTCTTGTGGCCGCCATGAGATTAACACTGGTTCATTGGCGGGCTGACTAGAGTTCACTGAGGAGGGAAACTTCAGGCTGGTGGTCACAGGAACAAGCTATAGAGGATACCAGAACTGCTTTATATTAAGGACTCAACTTCTTTCCAGGAAAAATGAACAGCCTGTGGAACACTTCTGGCTGCTTGTCAGAGAAGCTCCTGTCACCTCACCTTCAGTTAGAGATTCAAACATGGTGGACAGGAGAAGCAGTTATTCCCTTCTATCGTATCTTCCACACAAGGTGCTCAGCACAGCTGAGCATCCCTGATGCTATAGGGAAGGTGCTGCTGGAAGCATTGGGCTGGTATGAAGCTAGTGCATTTCACTTCCTCGGGCGAGACCCTCTTTCAAGCGTGGAGGACCTTGATGCCTTGTGCTGTAGGGCTTAGCTAACTTTGCTCTCATCAGGTGAGGACAGGCAGACTGCCTAAATGGAGCAATGATGATCTAAAGCTAATTGCGTGAGTCATACCAAAGTACCAGATTAAGGGATGTCTCTTTTTCTAGAGGTGTAGCTGACTGAGGAACCAGGATGTCTGGGGCAGTTCCTTTTAATGTTACTTAAAGGATGCTGGGCAGTTACAGGACTGCAGCACAGAGAGCAGGCATTCAAAAAAATCCTTCCGTTGATCTGTCTTGGACCATCCTCTAGAGAAGGGCTGGATATCGCTGTCGTGTATTTGAGGACACTGGCATACCAAAGCGATGCCAGTTACACAAATACAGATAGACACTTGAATATGGAACTTCTCTTCTCTCTCTCCTTAGATATCACGCTTCAGTGGCTTATTCAGCATTCAAAATCTAGAAGAAGCTGAAGTCTTCCTGGAATCTCCAGTACCAGTTGGCCATAACCTCAATTGTCCACTTCCCTCCATAATGAGATATTTCCCAAAAATCCTGTATCAAGAATTTGCCTTTTCACGGTTCATTTCTCATGTGCACTGCTGAAGACTTGTATTCCTATTCTGTCACAAAACAACTAGAGTTGTCATGATAAAGTCAGCACAAATATTTATTTTACAACCATCTATGGTGGGAGGGTTGTGGGGGGGGCTTTTTAAAAAAAAAAAATATCTCTCTACCATGTTAACTATGATGGTACACTCTGTTCTGGTTTTTCAGGGCCAGGTTTTTATATGATTTTCAGCAAGTGTTTTATTTCTAGTGTTTAGTGGCTTGAAGATGCTGATGCTTGACAGCATTAAGATTCTGTAAGATGCCACATACAGTAGTTAGAAAACATTTAAGCGTGAGTTGTGGGATACTGATTTATCTCACAAATGCATGTGATGTGTGTATGTAAGCAGAGACATGGGAACTGTTTGCAGAGGGGAGCACAAGGCATAGATCAGCATCACTAATCGACAGCTGAGATCTGTCACTTGAAAAAGAAAACTCTCATGATGAATTAGGAAGTGTCAACTGTTTAAAATCATTTTGTTGCTTCTGTTTAACATTTGCGTGGGGAATGGGAATGGACTGTTCTGTCAAGCTTTCAAAAATTGGAGTATTCCAGCATGAAAACAACTTGCTAGGAACATCAGACTTTGTTCAAATACATTTTTCTATCGACAGATACTAGTGGTCTCTATCTGAAACCAGAACACACATTCTGAGCAGCTGCATGACACTTAAATTACTGATGTTTTTGTATAGAGTCAGTTGTTGACCTTTAGCACAATACCTGTGTAGCTGTCTAGTGTCTCTCCTGCTCATGGAATGGCTGGGCACAGTTTCACCTGGTGCTACGGAATAGCTAGGCTATTGTGACAACTCTAGACCTGCCTGCTTCCTCGATGTAACCATGTGCAAAGTCTGTAAGTTGCAAGATGAAGTGTTCTACTGTGTCAAAGCACAAGAGAGCCGATGGATCGATCCTGCTTCTTGACTTGCTCCTACAGTATAGGGAAGTATGTGTAAACTAAAGATTGTAACGCTTTTGTGGCTTTACTTTCTCAATGACTTCAGTATATTTAAAGGGACAGGCTTGTTAAGACTGGTTTGTTCATACAGTAATGTCAGTGTAGCTCACTAGTGTATGCGAATACATGGTACACCTGCTTGTGTTGCCTCACACTGTGTGTGATTCTTCACCTAAATGTAGTTTGCATTATGTCGGAGTCTTTGGTTGGAAACGCTGCCTAGTCCATATCAGCTATGACAAGCCAGTTTTAATTTGGACTGCCATGGCCTTACTGTTCTGTACCAACTCTCGCGCTGTTGCACAGACACTACACGCTGCCTGCATTCAGTCTGAACTTGCATTTTAACTTTTTGTCCCCTTTCAGTTCTCTGAAGCATGATTTCCATTAATTCATACTCTGGTGCTGTAGAGGAGAGGGTATATTAACTTGCTACTGTAGTCCCTAGTTCACCAGGAACTGTTACAGTTACTTTTATTTAGCAAACTTGCTTGTGCCTAAAATAAGGAAACTAAACTAGAATGTGTGAATCTTTGTGAGGGACCAGGTCACTGTTTAGTTAACTGGCCTATAGCTAAACTTGATGTGTTTGGTGTTTATATACTTCACGGCTTTCAGCATTTATGGCATCCAAACACTACCAATTGTTAACCTGTGCATTACTCTCTGCATGTGAACGACTTATACAATTACTGAACTTTGTAAATACGTGAATTTTTTATTTAGGTGGATGCATATGTCGGTTTACTGCTCTTCAGCTTTATTCAATAAACTTATGTTTTGAGGGTTGTATTGACACTTAACTGACTGACTTGAGTTGATGTGGCTTAACTCACGGAAATACATTATGGGGTGCCTGTCTCCTCCCCCACAAGATGACAGTGGGGGAAGAAGGCTCGGTAAATACCTGAGCTTCTTTGTGTTCTCTGGTTCAACTTTTCAAGTGAAATGCTTATAAGGCTACCTTCCAGGCCTGGGGCTTTCTCGGCTTACGTGAGCAAGCTTAGCTAGTCAGTCTCAGCAGACTTCAGTGCGTTTTTGTATTTATGAAAAGCACAGGTCAGTTGAAGGGTCTTAAGTAGGGGCAGCTTTCCGGAGCTCTGTTTTCAGAAGAAAAATGCACGTGTCTGCAAGCTTGTTTCTTGTCATCAAGCCTTGAGCGAAACCTTTGCTTTTCTAGCACAAGCGTCAGATCTAGCAGTGCCTGATCATTCACTGCCAGTTAAAGCATAAAGATTCTTATCTCTTTGGAAAGTGAGGCTTTCACTGACTGAGGTCTTGAACGAAATCTTACACTGACTGTTCTTCCCAAATGCTTTGTTGCATTAATTTCTCTTGGGTCGTTGATTAACTTACAGGACCGTATGTCAACATCTTCCAAGTAATGGTAACAAATTGGATGTCTTCTGTTCACAGCCTGCCTCCGTGTAAGCTTTCAAGCTTCCTGAGCTGTAACAGGTTAGTCTTTTAGGCCTGAGTACTGGTCAGTTAGCATCCTTCATGTGTGATTCGGCTGGTGGGAAGGACTAATGAACTGTTGAGTAAAAGATCATGTGCGTATTTCTTCAGTTGGTGGGGTTTCCTGCATGCAAAACAAGCTACATTCAAAGCAAAATGCCTCTAGACACAGAGTCTGAAGAACAGTATTGCTGCTGTAAGATTTGTCACCCTGGTTGGTCTGGTACCGGTACTAATCACTTAAATCAGCTGTTTTGTGAACTTGGCCAATGGCTGTTTGCTTGATGTGGTATTTAAGTAATAATTTCTACTTCTAAATGTAAATTGCAAGGAGAGCTACACTGGCCACCTATGATGTGTATACTCCCAAAAGTACTTTTGTGTTACTTCACAAGATAACCCCACCTCGGTTTTCACAGCTATTCTTGTACAGTTTTTCCAGATGCCTTCAGTTACTCACGTGGCAGAAATGTAGACCTTGAAGAGACTGTTTGAATCCAGTGCAGAGGATTGTACTTTTTCTGTTTGAGGGCTTGATTAGGTTAACTTTCCAACGACCTTCATTTTGGAAGTGGAAAGGAAGCATAATAAGTCTTCCAGAGAAGTGAGGCTGTTCTCGCCACTTTTCAGCCTTGGACTGAAAAAACCACTCGCTCATCTGGCACAGTGAAGTCCAAGGCTAAACCTTTTCTGTTCTAATGAAGGTGTGGAGCCCAAGATGGGCATTAGCAGTCTTGTCTGCTGAATGTGGATGCTATAGGTGTGTTCTGCTTCTAGAAATCTATTGGGCCAATCTGATCTCTCATGGTGATTGCTTGTCTCCGTAGTGAGCCTGGACAGTAAAAAGAGAATGATTAAATTGGCCGTTCTCTTAACAAAAGTCACTTTTGGGGATGCATTTTAAGTAACATAAATGGTTGTACTTCAACATCACTAGCTGTAGTCCTGAAACTCTCTTCTGATGCATCTGCAGTAGGCCTTGACCATGAGCGTATTAAGATGACTGTGTCTTGTGAAAAGGCAAATACTGAGCCAGAGAGAACCCTTGGTCATGGCTATGCATGCAAGTTAGACACCAGTCATACCTTTATGACCTCGTGACATGTCGGTACTGTATGGCGTCCTGATGATTTAAAATAGCTGTCAACTCTAAATACTTGTCGTCGGTTTTGTTGCGTACAAGTGGTCACTTACTGACTGTAGAGCAGCGCGTCTCTAGACTAGACTGGGAAGAAATGTTTGTGCGCGCACCCACAGCAGCGGGCTGTGCGAAAGTTTTCCGTGGAGTGTTGACGTCCTATCGCTGTTAGCGTGGATGGTGGTTTCTTTAAGTGTAATTACAGAGCAGCATGATTCTCATCATCGCCCCGAGTACAGCTGAGTGTCTTAGCGGTTGCGCAGAGCAGTTCTGTCCCTACCACTTGGCAACGTGAGACATGCACAAGTGTGGAGCTGTTTCATGATCTGTGGAACGAATAACCTAGTTTCTTATCGATCCGTGTTTTCTCTTTGCATCTTTATGGAAAGAGATTGGAAAGACGGTCCTTTTTGGATGCTGACGTATAAAGCTGCATAATCTTCACTTTCTGGTAGAAGAAAGGAGGCCAAAGAAAATGCCTTAAACAGTCTCTCTGGTTAAATAAATATAGGAATGTTGTGCAGGGATCTATTAATAACTTGAACTATGACTTAGCTGGATTGTCAAGCTTTTAACTTTTCTAAGGTTTAATTTCATAGTTACTGTGGCTGTGCGACGGCATGTCATGATTTGCTTTGTGCGTGTTTACTGAACGTGAAAGAAATGCGCTTCCCCCGGCAGCATGCCCCGGCACTGCTCCCTGCTGGCTTGCTTTTGCACTGACCCTGACCAGAGCGCGCGGTGAGAATTCTAAAAAGGGGGGTGTAAATCAGGTTATTTAAGCTATCTTGCTAAGAGCAGTGCATTGCCGATTACGCGAACGGCGAAGCAATGAATCGTGTTAAAGGAGAAGTAATGTGAGAATGCCTGAGACTGGTTATGTGCTTCAGGACCTTCTATTCCCAAAACATGAGTGCGGAATGACTCCTCTCACTAAACCCTAAACCTTCAGTGAGCAGTCTGTTGCTTTAGGACTACAGCTGCTGAAGGTTAAAGTATGCCTTGGTGAAACATCAGGGAATTTGTTTTACGTGTCACTTGTGACAAACACGGGATGGCAGTCAAAGGGGGGTGTGCACATACTCTTTTAGAGGAGAAGTGAAATATTTGATGTTTTTATTTCCGTCACGGTGGAAGGTGGGTAAGTAGACCTTTGTGCCAGGATTAGTGCCTTTTAATTATGACTTTACAGGTTTTATTCTGTTAAAGGCAACATCTATCATTGTGATCATTTTGAAGTGCTTCAATAAAGTGTTGTTGAAAACCATTCTTTTGCATATTCATCTGTAGTAGTACAGCTGCTTTATTATTGTTAGAAATATATCAGAAGGCCTCATTACCAAACTGCGGGAGACATCGTTACGCTCAAGCTAAACTAAACACATCCATGCTAAAATCTACATCTTGGGATCATCTGCGAGAGGAGCAAACAGGTTGACTCCTTGAAGCACTCCTTAAGAATGATGAGAGTAGGTGGTATCGCTTCCACGCAGGCAGATACCTTCCAGTAGGAAATTCAAGAAGTCTTTCCTGGCGTAATTAGGGAAGTAAACGTTTTACATACTGTCACGAAACAGTGATCTCAAGTGTATGAATGAGGCGAATTCTAAATTTCATGTTTTTGTTTTTTTTAAAAAAAAAAAAGTCATTGAATGCTGCTGCCTGGTTGATGCTTGGTCAGTGTGAGCTGTGTGTGGGGAGAGTGGCCTCTGCGTAACCTCATCTTGAGAGAGTGACCATAAGCCTTGTGCTCGGCGGGGGACAATTTTCTGGGTAGTTGCGTGAAACTCTATCATTTCTGATTACGGCTTTGGTGTAGATGCCGAGAGGATTTTGTTGGTCTCATTTGTGTTTCTCTCTGAAAAGACCTATCAAGGAGAAGTTTCTAAACCATATTATTCAACAAACAAGGCAAATACGTGAGCAGAGAAAGAAAAAGCTGTTGTGACGTGAAATTTAAAGCTAAACTCTATTTCTCACAAGAGTCTTGGAGTCGAGTACACTGGTAAGTTGCTTCTGAATAATTGTGTTAACTTGGGGTGTGGACAGATACTTCAGTCTTTGCAATGAGGGATTTTCCTCATTCTTTAGAGTCAATAAATGAATCCCCTTCTTGGTGTGAATAGTAATATCGCTGGTGCATAAGGGGAAGAACAACTGAAAGAGCAACCTCAGGCTGCTGTGTTTGAACACGCTAGAGGATTTTAACGGGAGTCAGTGTACATAAGTCCTGGTGGACCACTGCACTGTGGTTTGGTTTTTTATTTATTGGTTCTACTGTTTCTGTTGCAATGAATGGAAAACAGAGCAAGATCTAACTCCTGAAAGTATAAAATACAGGCTGAAGACAAATCATTAATGTCTGGTTGTCTGCACTTTTTGCTAAAAAGGATGCAATGCAAGAGTGAACACCAGCCCTTAGTTCAGCGATAAAGCGGTCGGTCATGCTTACAACCACAGTTCCTCGTGATGCTGGTAAGGTTTCTGGGGTAGCTGAGATGCGTGTCTCCTCTTTACTTCCCCTGGCTGTAGTTTCTTTATGGACTCTTCTGGGGTTTTTTTGCCCGTCTTTGAGGGGGTTTTGTTTTTACCAGTACTGTCTGACTTTATTTTCACTTTCATATCTACAGTTTGTAAGTGGCGTTTCTCAGCTTTTCTATTTATGCTGCTTTCTGAAAACCCCGGCTGCCTTGGAGCTTGTTCTTTGGTTTCTTCCAGCGCCGCATCAAACGCTGGCTCACTGCCTGCTCGCCGCTGCTGCCGTCGCGCCCGTTGCTCTGCTCTCCATCTCGCTGTCCGAGCGGGTCGGCTGCCGGTTCTGCCCTTGTGTGAGGGGCAGCCCTGTGTCCATCTCCCCGGCTGTCCTGGGCCAAGAGGGTGACATGGCTTCCCCATGGTTGCTGCAGGCCGCGGCGAGGGCCTCTGGATGCTGCCGGTGGGGTAAGCGGGCCTGGGCTGTGCCAGCAGCAGATGGAACCGGCTACGAACTTTAGGCGAAGGGTTGGGTGGGCTTTTTGTTGGGAGAACCTCATGGGTAGACTGTTTGGTGGATAAGGAACTGGCTGGATGGTCGCATCCAGAGGGTAGTGGTCAATGGCTCGATGTCCAGATGGAGACTGGTGATGAGTGGTGTCCCTCAGGGGTCCATATTGGGACCAGTGCTGTTTAATGTTTTCACCAATGACTTAGACAGTGAGATCGAGTGCACCCTCAGCAAGTTTGTGGATGACCCCAAGCTGAGGGTGTGGTTGACACACCAGAAGGACGGGATGTCATCCAGAGAGCTGGACAGGCTGGAGAGGGGCTGTGTGAACCTCATGAAGTTCAACAAGGCCAAGTGCAAGGTCCTGCACCTGGGTCGGGGTAACCCCCAGTATCAGTACAGGCTGGGGGAAGAAAGGATGGAGAGCAGCCCTGCCCAGAGGGACTTGGGGG